TGTGGTGGAATTCTCAGAAATCGACGAAAAGCTGAAAAACTGGGAATTTCCCAAAAACTCAGTGAATTCAAAGTTCTGAATCTAGGCCTGTTAAAGATTCTTCCAAATTTCCAAAGTGATTGGAAGCTTGACAGTCAAGATCTAGACCCTTGAAAATGCCCAAAAATCAACTGAAAATATGTCTTTGTACATTTTATTGACCAGTACAGTATCTAGAATTGTAGACTCTAGGAAGCTGGGAATGTTTCAAACTCTGTTCCCTCTTGATGCTCAGAATAGCACAAAATACATACAGCTGACGGCGATGGCCTGGCTTCGAGCGATCCATATGAGCAAACAAAGACGCCGATGGAGATCTCTACAGTTGTTCAGATTCTAGGGAACCTTCTAGAACATTGCAGTCTCAAAATGGAAGGTCCAGGATCTTGGCAATCATCTAGCCACTGTTGGGATACTGTAGAAAGAAGCTACTCGGACTTTCTAGGACATAATTAGAGTGCATCATAAACTTTACACTAGGGAACCTCAGGTGTCGTTGTAATGTGTGCATCATGCTACTTCGTCAGGGAGGAGAATCCTCGCATTTCACTTTTTAAAAGCTTCTACTTTCCAAAAGAGAGAGAGAGAGAGAGAGAAATTAAAAGTGTACAAAACGAAATGGGATTTCACTCGATTTCTAGTCTCCAATAAGGGAAAGTGAGGTAGTAATCCTCGTTATGAGTGATTGACACATTATACCTACTTACACAACTACGATTACCAAACAAAAAAGGGGTCTGAAAACCGGTTCGGATTTGGGAAACCACAGAAAAAGGTGTTAGGGTTCGACACCAAACTTTTGAGGTCTTTTAAAGAGAGATGTTAAGTGTTGAACTTGAATTTTTTTGAGAATTGCTAATCGTTGAAAGTGGTGAAAAGTGCACTTGCGTGATGTGACGAAATGTTACACAAATTAGAAGTGAATCAACTAGGATGATGGAAATCCGCTTTATTGAGATTCAGAGGTTCTCTGGATCTCTAGAAGAGGGATCAAGGATCTTCTTCTCAGAGCTGCAATCTGGAGAATCAATTTCTTCTGCTAAGAATCACAGAACTTTTGGGTTAATGGGATTAGCATTAGAGCGGATTTGCTAACATGGAAAGAATCTTAAACAGAAGCTTAGCAATCGCTTCATTGAAAACTACAGTAATCCTTCACAGCATTCGCATCTGCAAATTTCCAACTTTTCAAAGAAATCTCACCTTGGATGCTTCTGAATCCGAATTTTGAATTTCAAATCTCCCGGGTCTCCCTCGATGTGTGGTTCTCCTTCTCCATGGAAGATCTGCGTGTGTCCCTCGTCGGCGCCAACTTCAACTTCGACCTGAAACCGCGGACAGGGTGTTTGGGTTTCTGGGCCATGTGATTGGCATATAACGTACCGGTCCATAAGATATACAAAAAGGTGTTTTTCATATGATTTTTGGTCATTTTCCGGAGTCTGGAGCTCGGCTGTGAGGTTTCCAATGACTTTGAAACTTTTGGGGTGTGTAAAAAAACCCAGATTGAAAACTTTGAATTCGCAGAATTTTTCGAAAGTTTCTAGTATTTCAGCAATTTGCCGCTTTCCGAAAAACACAGTAATCCGGAAATTTAGATCACAGGAACTGAACTTTTCCTTCAATTCAGTCCAAAAACCAACTACAAGTTTACAAGTTTTCAAGTCTAGAGACGCAGACCACGAGACACGCTGCGTCTCTAACTTCTCTAAAGAGACGCAGACATTCGAAACTTCAAGTGGCTATATCTCGGCTTCCAGGTGTCCTAGAAATGCGGTTTTTTGACAGAATCGATCATGATTTTTCGCTTTTCACTTTAAAATGTGTATGCAAAGTTTTCAATCTAGTGGTCGGAAATAGCCGAAAATCCACTAAACAGTTGTTTTTGTGTATCTTATAGACCTGATCTGTATATACGATACTAGATATATTCTTAGAAGTGATTTCAGCTTAAAATCAGGATTCAGAGTTTGAAGACCCCTTTGATCAGTTACAGGTACTGTATTTGGGTTGCTAGGCCATGCTGCTCACCTCCAACACCTTATTCTCCTGCACCAACTTGACATTCGGACACTCATCGCACACTTTCACCTGGAACATCTGGAACCTCCCTTGTCCCATTTGTTCCGTGCGCATTTCGTGTCGACAGTTACACTGCCGAGTTCCAGATGTTTGTTTGTAGACGGCCTTCTTTCGTTTGATCTGAAAATTTGAACTTTTGAGGGTAATTAGGTTTGTCGGGTTAGTCTTACCTCAACGAAATGACCATTATATGCTTCCTCAAGTGTTACAAATAGATCTATGGTGACGTCGGCACCCTGAAAAGATATTTGTGGTTGAGCTGGCCGAGTTTTGGAATTTCCTAGGCCACCTAAATCAAATGGCTCCAAATTGGCTATTTTAAGCCGTTTTTTCCCAAATTTTCGCACAAACCTTCGGCGTTCCTTCGTCTCCTCCATTTCCACCTCCACCACCAAAGAAATCACCGAAGAACGATGAGAACGGATCGTGTCCACCACCACCGCCGCCGCCCATCTTCGCCACGCCTTCTTCGCCGTGTCGATCGTACATCGCTCGTTTTTCCTTGTCAGACAGCACCTGAATTTTTTTTTCGTTAGAAAATTTAGGTTGCAAAATAGGAAATAGGTTTTTAATTTTTTTTTTTTTGAAAAAAAAATTTTTAGCTAAACATTTTTTTAAGTTGAGAAACCAATATGTATTTCCTGGCTGAAATTTTTTGATAAATCCAATGGTTTGAATCACAAACCTCGTAGGCTGCTGATAAGTCTTGGAATTTCTCATTTGCCATCTCGTCGTCTGGATTTCGATCCGGATGCAATTCTTTGGCTTGTTTTCGGTACGCCTGCAATTATTTTTTCCGTAATTTCAGAAAAAATTTTCCAGTTTCTCACCTTTTTAATCTGATTGGCATTGGCATTTTTAGAAACACCCAGAATTTTATAAAAATCTCGACCGCACTCAACAAAATCGACCAAAAATGCGGTCAGTACCAGTAGGGAAACGTTCAATATCCGCATGTTTTCTGAAAAAGAAGAAAAAGTTGGAAATTTTTAGGTGAAAATGTGCTGAAAACTGATAAGACCCGGTTTTTCCGGACGCGGAAACTTTATAACACTAAATACCACGTATTTGCACACGTCAGTTTAACGGTGTACGCTGGAGCGCGCTTGCAACATTTGCTTATCGTCCTTAATAATTTCGTTTTATCATGGTTGTTTTCACCTTGTTTCGCCTTGTTTCAGGGTGCTGACACTCAAAAATTGATGAAAAACGATAAATTATATTTTTAAAATTGGGATTGTTACAAAAAAATGTCTTTCGTTGCGAAGCAGTATAGAAATTTTAGGCATGCACCTTTAAAAATCGACAGTAATCCATTTTTCCAATTTTTTAGCCGATTTTTTTCCTTTTTTCTTCATATGATTTCTTGCATGTTTCTACATAATTTTCAAGCATTTTCCTTTCAGAAATGCTTCTCCAACTACTGGTTTTACTAGTACCTGCGGCGCTCGGTGAGGATGTCACACAACGGCAGCTGAAGCCCGTCAAAGGAGTCCCCCATTCTCGTAAGTGCACATTATCGATTTTTGCTCTATATCTCATGAATTCAGGTCTCCATCTCTACCAATCCTCCACCACGGATACCTTCCGATGCTTAGACGGCTCCCAAACGATTCTCTACTCCCAACTCAACGATGATTACTGTGATTGTAAAGACGGAAGCGATGAGCCAGGAACCTCTGCCTGCGGAAACGCCTTCTTCTACTGCTCCAACGTCGGCCACAAGGGAAATTTCATCCCAACCAATCGAGTGAACGACAAACTCTGTGATTGCTGCGATGGCTCAGATGAGTACGATTCTGGAGTTGAGTGCCCGAACATTTGCGACGAGTTGGGTCGTGCCGCCCGAATCGAGCGAGAGAAGATTGCCAGCGTGGCAAGAAAAGGGTTTCAGAAGCGACAGGAGTTGGCGAAAGAAGGACAAGCGTTGAGAGACTCGAAGCTGAAAGACGTGGAACCTTTGAGACAGGAGAGAGCCAATATAGAGCCAGAAAGAGCTAGACTAGAAACGGAGAAGAAGGCAGTGGAGGAGGTCGAGAAGAAGCTTCAGGATGAGCATAGAAATCAATGGGAGGCAGTGAGAATTGAGAAGAAGAAGTTGAGAGCTACTGACTGGTTTGATGAGTTGGATTTGGATAAGAGTGGAAAGATTGATAGGGAAGAGTTGAGACAGAATTTGTTCCTGGATAATGATCATGATGGATTTGTCAGTGAGGATGAGGTCAAGTCCTATTTGACCATTGACGAAGCTGACTTTGAACACTTCCAATCTTCCATGTACGATCGCTTGAAGGAGGCTCGGCACCAGCATCGTGAGGAAATGAAGTACAAAGAAGAGCAGGAGAAAGAGAAGGCAAAGGCATTGGAGAACGCTCCAGATGACGATGATCTTCTTGCTGAAGAAGATAGACACGAAGAAGAAGAAGAAGATCCAGAAGACGTGAGAGCTCAAGAAGACGACAAGATGCCAGCCTATCCACCAGAGATTAACGAGGCTAGTGAGAAGGCTAGAGAAGCGAGAAGACTGTTCGATGAGGTTAACGAGAAGGTGCAGGATCTGGATGCCAAGATTCGTGAAGCCGAAGACTTTACGAACTCAGACTACGGAGAGAATTACGAATGGGCGGCACTGAAGGACAAGTGTTTCGATCGAAATGTGCAACAATACACCTACCAATTCTGTCCATTCGGTCAGAACACTCAAAAGGACGTGGGAGCTTACGGTGGAACTTCGCTGGGAAATTTCAAGAATTGGAGTGGTGGCGAGACGAACAAGTACTCGAAAATGCACTTTGGAGATGGACAACAGTGTTGGAATGGGCCGAAGAGAAGTACAGATGTATGTTTATAAGCACAGCTACTATTTTAGCTAAAGAAAAAACGGCTTTGGGAAAATGACACCGACCAAAAATTATAATAATTTTGATGCATCGAAATGTGTGGAAAAATATGTAGATTCATATAGAATTCACAAAATCTTGAAAAACCGACTCAAAAAGTCCATTTCTGGAAACTTCTGGAAGGTTCTGGAATATTTTTTGATTTCCCGCCAAAACTGAGAACTACGAAAACATGAATCTACATAGTTTTCTCCACATTTTTTTAGTCAGTACGCCACTATTCAGAGCAAAATTCAGATTTTTTTGACTAAAAATTCAAATTTTTATTTTGAAAACCCCAAATAATTCTAATTTTCCTTTCAGATTTCCATCGAATGCGGCGAAGAAAATGAGCTGGTCGAAGTGACGGAACCTGCGAAATGCGAGTACCTCTTCACCTTCCGCACACCTCTGGCATGCACAGATCCGGATAAGGAGATCGTTCATGATGAATTTTAATCATTTATTGATTTTTTTCATAATCCCATTTTTGTGTTATTCGATTGTTCCTGTTCCATTTATCGCCCTTTCCCCCAAAAATTGACTAAAAAATTGATTTTTAAATAGTTCACTTCCTGTATCCTGGGTGTTTTTAATAGTGTAACATCGTCCTCTTTTTCTTCTCTCTTTACTAATTTTTTTTGCTGTTTTCACTTGAATGAATATAGCAATTTGACTCGGGAAAAATTGAATTTTTAATTTTCCCTCTTCTCACAACTCATCCTTTTAGCAAAACTTCTGTATACAAAAAATTCAATTTCCCCTTGTTTCAAACGAAATTCAACTCTAGAAGGCGTGAATTTCGGCACGTCTTCAGGATTTGAGATTTTTTTTCATAGTTTTAGGAGATCAACCAAAAAATATGAGGAAGAAAAACTTCCGTTTTTCCAGTGAAAAAGTTTTTCGATCGTTTTTCCTCAGGCAGTTTTTTTTTCTGCACTTTTTTCAAAAAGAAAGCAAATAAGCAATTTTATTAAAATTGAGGGATTTTTTTCCGAAAAAAAAAATGACAGAAAACAAAAGGACATGAAAATAAATCGAAAATCAGTATTCACTAAAATTCAGAAAATCCGAGAATCTGAAAGTTCGAATGATCCGAAACTCATAATCTCAGAAAAATTCAAAAATCCTGAAACACTGAAATTCATAAATTCAAAAAATCCCAGAGTCTGAAAAACTGACAATTCATGGCTTCGGAAAAATCCGAAAACTTCAGGAATCCCGAAATAAAGAAATTTGAAAAGTCACAAATTAGGACATGTAGAAATCTAGGAATTCAGGAAATTCAAAAAACCAGATATTGGAAAATTCGAAAAGCCGAAAACTCGGAAAATCCGAGAATCTGAAAATCTGACAAGTCAGGGTTCCTGAAGATGTCGACAATTCTAGAAATCCCAAAACTCGGAGATTCAAAAATACTAGAAAATTCTGGAATTCGGAAATTCTGCAATTCTGAACATCGGAATTTCGAATTCTGAAAATCCAATAATCTGAATATTTGGGAGTCTCGAATTTCATAAATTCGGAAACTCGTAAATCCCGAAGTTCAAAAATTCAAAAGTTCTGAAAAT